AATCCTACCTCAATATTTTGGACTGAGAAAAAAAAGACACACATACACACACACCAGTGTGTTTTCTTAGGCAAGAAAACAAAATAGAGAAACCACATGTGTAGCTTAGTTTCATTTGGTAAAAGGCAAAAGTAACTTTCATTGACACAGGATAAATGAATATATAATGATCATGAAGCCAGCTGATTCATCACTATGTGATTCCAAATTAACATCCTTGTAAACTTTTTAAATCAATGGTGTTATAGATATGCGAAAGCAGAACCACACAGTCATAAATTATGCTAGTCACGGAACATGTGGCGTATCACAGCTCTCCTTTGAAGTTAACAAATTCACCACTACTTACATCAGGTCTCAGCTCAGCAGCACTGCTTTCCCAGTGATGGCCTTAGAGTGCAAGTACAGGGAAAGTTCATAAAATAACTCTTCTTTTTAAATAGAAAAGTTTATATGTATAACTATATGTGTAAGATACAAGACATACATACTCATATGTGTTCACGCACACAAATATTAGCTAGTTCTTAACAGTTAACTTCTGAAGCTGATTTTACAAAGTCTGGTAATGTTGGTTGGTTTTCATTGTCTTTGTTACTTTTCACTGCCTCGGTACAGAAAAGCAAACTTTTCTTCAATAGTGTAAGCTAATATATTCAAGGAGTCACTACATACAACTGGTTTGGCTATCCAAGAATTAAAGAACTCAAGAATCTTGTATCACCTTTTGCCAAAATTGCTTGGAACAAAATGCGTGTAAACCACCATAAGAAAGAAACAGAACTGTAATCCCAAATCTGTTCCAAATAACATTAGTACATTTCAACATAGCTATCACTCAGCATTTTATTTTTCACTATAATAATTCATTCCACTTAGTGTGGCTTATCTTAAAGTGATGCATAAAGAGAAAAACAATTTTACATTACCCATTCAACAATCAGGTTAATCTTGGAGATGATGCATCACTTTTGCTTGGGAACTTAGCCCTGATTAGCAAGGTAATTAAATGCAAGTCTAAAGTGAAGCACGTGAATATTCCTACTTCCTTCAGCAATACTGCTCACGTGCTTCTGATTAGACCCCATGTTCATGTACCTCACTACGTCGCCCTATGGCTGGTTGTGGTATGCTTATAGCTTACTGAAAGAAAGCATAGTGTAGAAAACTGTTCCTTTGTTGCACATTAGACATTTGGAGAAAAATAGGGA